CTCTGTCCGCAGTTCAATTACACAACATTACATTGTTGCCGTCACGTCTTGACCGTCTTATATATAAAAGAATACCGAAATCTAGTAAACGCTAGAACATTCAGGAACCTTCGAGAATATGACGTGTTACTAGTGTTACGTGACTTCCGCTGTCGTAACACAAGAAATATTTATATTATGAAACAATGCGATATCTTCTCAAATAGGCACAGCTATGAAATTTACAAAAATGAAATATAATATACTTTTGCTTAACAGTAAAATTACTAAGAGTATTAAATGACTGGTTAAGTTTGTTTTGAATTTCACACAAAGCTACTCGAGGGCTAGCTATGCTAGCTGTCCCTAATTTAGCAGTGATAGACTAGAGGGAAGGCAGCTAGTCAACACCACCCACCGCCAACTCTTGGGATACTCTTTTACCAATGATTTACCGTCACGTTATAACACCCCCATGACTAAAAGGGCTAGCGTGTTCGGTGAGGGGGTTCGAACCCGCGACCCGCAGATTGATTACAAAAGGAAAAGTTTTACTTAAACTTTAAGAAACGCGTTTCTTCAGGTCGGATACAATAGATTTCTTATAGATTTCAGATAACGTTCCTATACTATAACATTTATGTCACCATCTTTTCCAAAACACTGTGTTAAGATGATTTACGCAATGTTATTTTAATATGATAAGGAAATAAGCCTTGATGACGTCATGGGTGTGGTAAATAATATCTAAGATGGCGGATGTGCTGTCAGCGTGTTTTTGTTTTGAACGCTTTAAATATGGTCCTGATGAGTTGGAACAGCTTCACAAAAGTAAAGAAATCGATAAAACACTTGCTAGAGAGAAACATGCAATGAGAAGGGAAGTTAAACTGTTATTATTAGGTGCTGGTGAGAGTGGTAAGAGCACATTTCTCAAACAGATGAAAATTATACACGGACAGAAGTTTGAAGAAGAGGATCTTCGTGAATTTTCAGCTGTTATTTATCAGAACATCGTTCGGGGAATGAAGGTTCTCTTGGACGCGAGGGCTAAATTACATATCCCATGGGAACATCCAAGTAATGAACGTTATGTCACCCAAGTTTTAGATTACGATAACAGTCTAATCTTGGACACGAAACTCTTTTTACATTTTTCTCACCCCATAGAAAAGTTATGGCAAGATAAGGCGATAAAAACAGCATTTGAACGAAGAAAAGAGTTTCAGTTGGTAAGTTGTTACGTAAGTTGTAATTGTATTATATATATATATGTGTGTGTGTGTGTGTGTGTTCGCTTTTTTATTAGTTGTATCAGATATTTAGTAGTAGTAGGCCTAGATCAGCATATACATTAATTACAGGTCCTAAATATTACTTGTCCCAGGACAGACAAAAGTTTTATAAAAATAAAATATATATACGATGTAGTAAGCTTACTATTGTTGGCTGTATAATATGTCTAACTTTTAGTTTCAGTAGCTTTTAAGATCATAACTATTGGGTATTTTAATTGCTAAATAAATCTTTATATTTCAAAAGACTGATTTCAATTTAAGTGACATGTGCACATTAGGTTATTGAAGAACAAATAAGGTGACTGAAGTGAAATCTAGTTGATCAGTTGAGGGGTTCCTTTGAGTTATCGTAAGATGAGTTGGTGCTTGGTGTTAGTTCTTTAGGGCATAGGGGTAATCTGTATAACACAACATATGGAGAACAAGAGACTACACCCATCCTTGGAAAAAAGTAAAAAATTTAAACCTACCTTTTATTTTTCAGGAAATCACTGAATGAATTCATTCTCTTCTTGAAATCCTGTAAAATGCTGGCCTCTTCGACTTCTGAGGGTAACTTATTCCATAAACCAATCACCCTGTTAGAAAAATAAAACTGCCTTAACTGGAGCCTAATCTGTCTTTTCTGAATCTTAATCTTATGCTCTTACATCCAATTATTTTCAGAAAATAGCATAAAGAAATCAGAGAATTATATTGTTGATCTCCAGATTATCTTGTAAACTTCAATAAGATCATCTCTACCCATCTTTTCTCAAGAAAATGTAAATTAAGAGGACTTATCCTCTCCATGTAAGATAACCCTTTCAATAAGTCGGTAATCGGTTTTAGATAAGGAAACCAAACTGTACACAGTAGTCCAAGTGAGATATAACTAGTGATTTGTATATAGATATAATTACTTTTTTGACTTGTAATCACATTTGTAAATACACCGTAAAATTTGTTAGATTTACTGCTAACAACAGAGCACTAGCTTGAGTCGTTTATCCACTACTGGCTAAGATCATTTTTCATATGTCATGCTGTTGGGTGATTTCTGTTCTATACTAAATTTGTGATCCAAATTATAAAAATTCAAGTGCATAACTGCACTTACTTACTTTAGTTAAAGGTCTTTTGCCAGATATTCGTCCAACTTGTGAATTGATTCAAGTAGTACCTCAACATCCTTAAGACAGCTAGAAATATCTAAGAGCAAACTTAGCTAATTTACCAATTATGATGTTATCAATATCATTAATGTTAAATAAGAAAAAGTAAAGACCTGTACACTGATCCTTGAGGCCATCCACTAGTACCAAGGGTCCAGTTTCACTGGACTTCATTAATAACAACCTTTTGGTTTCACCTATACAACCACCCTACAGTCCAATCAGCTGGTCCTTCCCAAACCCATCCAATGATATTTTTCTTAGCCAATCTTTTGTGTGACAGTTTATAAAAATTATATTTGGAAATCCAAGTACACCAACTGATCTTCTCTTGCTTTGGTCATTCTTTTCTTCATTCAAATTAAAATACGAAATATCTTGTGAAATGGCAATAATTTTCCCTAAAATCATGAACATTAAATATTTATGGATATTTTTGTTTTTTGGTCTGTCCAGGCTCATAACTGTTAAATTTTTCTTTATTTTGTGGTAATTTAAATTATAATATGAAACAAACTATGGAAGACAATTGAAAATATATTTTAACATGTGTTATGAACAATTAACCATTTGACGGAGTGCAAAACATCACAACATGGGATGAGGTGGTACATGTGGGTTTTGATTATGCTTCTGGTTAGTTGGTTTCTGACATTGGGTTTGTTGGTACATATAGGTTTGATTATGCTTTGATTGATTGATTCTCAACTTAAGGTTAGGTGGTACATGTAGGTTTTGATTATGCTTTGATTGGTTGTTTTTCTACATAGGGTTAGGTGGTATATGTAGGTTTTGATTATACTTTGGTTCATGGGTTTGAACATAGGGTTAGGTGGTATATGTAGGTTTTGATTATGTTTTGGTTGGTTGTTTTTCTACATAGGGTTAGGTGGGTAGATGTAGGTTTGATTATGTTTTGGTTGGTTGTTTTTCTACATAGGGTTAGGTGGTATATTTAGGTTTTGATTATGTTTTGGTTGGTTGTTTTTCTACATAGGGTTAGTTGGTAGATGTAGGTTTGATTATGTTTTGGTTGATTCCTTTTCAACATTGGGTGAAGTGGTACATGTAGGTTTTGATTATGCTTTAGTTGGTTGATTTTTGACATAGGGTTAGTTGGTAGATGTAGGTTTTGATTATGCGTTGGTTGGTTCGGTTTCAACATAGGGTTAGGTGGTACATGTATATTTGATTATGCTTTAGTTGGTAGGTTTTCTACATAGGGTTAGGTGGTACATGGAGGTTTTGATTATGCTTTACTTGGTAGGTTTTCTACATAGGGTTAGGTGGTACATGTAGGTTTTGATTATGCTTTAGTTGGTTGATTTTGGACATAGGGTTAGTTGGTAGATGTAGATTTAATTATACTTTGGTTGGTTGGTTTTCAACATGGGGTGAAGTGTAATGTAGAAGACATTGCTGTGTAGAGCTGGGTAACTTAATCGATTAGTCAAAAATTACAATGAAACCTATTGTCAAAAAAATAACTAATTAAAATTAGTGTTTACAATTATTATTGTTTTCAGTTATTCTAACAGTCTGTTAAATGAAATTCTGATTGAGTAGTTTGTCAGTTGCTGACTATAGATCTCTGCATTGACAGTTCGCTGTGGATTGAGGAGTTTGAAATGAATTACTCCTTTGATGTCCCCCCAAATGCAAAGGGTTTTGGGTTCAGAAGTGATTTTTGTCTAGGACTGACCCATTGTTTTTGGCAATTAAAATTCACATAGTGAATTCATCTTTCATTACCAGTGACAGTTCTGTCCAAAAATGATTCATGCGCATTACGCGCCAGAAGAGACGAAGCAATATTCACACGTTGGAAACGATGATCATCGGAGAGTTCGTGAGGCACTCAATCACCTTCTTTATGGAGTTTCCCATATTCCTTAGATGTTTACGTATTGTTTTATGAGAGATATGCAATTTCAGGGCCATTTCACGAGTGTGCTGCCTTGGGATAGAATCAACAAGCGTCTTCAGAGCATCAATATCAATTCCAACATGTCGGCCCTTGCCATCACAGTTTTTAAGGTTAAAGTCACCTGAACGATATTTGTTGAACCATCGTAGACACTTACAAACGTTCAAAACATTTCCATAAACTTCTTTGATATTCTTTGTGGCCACAGAGGCATTGTTTCTCTCCTTGTATTCAAACAGCATTACATGCTGAATGTGTGTCTCATCATGTGCCATCACTATAAGGGATTAGAGTGTACTAAACTTTACACATTATATAGGCTACACTAACGTGACATTTAGGTGGTTCGTTTAACTATTATACATAATGTACATTTTTTGGGAGTGGTTAACGAAAGTTTTCCAAAACGGAACATTAATTTCTTGACGACCTAATATGTATGTTTTATTATCGTAAAATACTGTACTATTTTACATGCAGAATAATTATTAATTGTTAAATTATATATTTCTAATTTAAAGAACTCTGTAGAACAATAGTGTTTTAGCTGTTTCAGTGATTGCTAATGCTTCATCAGAAGTATGTAGACATGTAGAAAACGTTAAATACCATAAGTAGCTGCACTATAACTATATAAGTGTAATTTTTTTTACATCACAAAATAGGGGGCTTGCCCAAAACCACATGTATATGTGTGTGCATCATTATTATTATTTTGTTGTTAAACACAAAGATATATAGTGAGCTATTTGTGCTGTGTCTTATTTTAGCCTCATAAGTTTTGTTTTTTTTCCCTGTAAGTTTATTGCCACTCAACTTGCCCATCTTCTCTTTGTTGTAGCAACTTGATCAAGGTTGTATGCCGGTGTCAGTAATTTTGAGCTAAAGATTAGAGAAAGCAACTGGTTGGTAGCACCTGATACCAATATTGTTGGTTGTATATTTTTGTTGGTTCCATAGTTTGAGTAACACTTTTCTACTCAATTAATGAGGCTGGTGATGAATTGATTAGCAAATACCACTAATTGACCAGCTCTGTTGGTGTCTAGTTCACCATATAAAGCATTAGTTTCAAGATACCACTGAAGGCCTGACTCTTGGGTTCAAGTCTTGGTCAGGACAGGTTCATTTCCTGCTTCACATCTGTATGTATAACTGTCACAGCTCAGAGTTCATCAGTAATCACGTGGTCTTTAGACTCTGTAGTTTAGTCTTTGAACCTTCTACATCTTACTAAATTACAGTAACATATAAATAATGATAATTTTTTGTAAACAACTTTAAATTGGGTCAAATCAACTGGTAAGCAGAGAGTAAACAATTCAAAATTTCACACGAGCAGGTTTTAAATATGTTTATTTTAATACTTAGTATTATTGTGTGATAACTAATGTACTAATAATTTAGACATCAAATTGATTGAAATGTTTTGCCTCAGCTTTGGGCTAATATATCTATTATGTATATGCTAGTGTGAGGTAAACTTGTATTTTACCAGTTTGTCAAATGTTAATGTGTTTCAGTGTTGATGACTATTTGGCAAGATTTCCAATATATTTTTTTAATTGCAGGGAGATAGTGTCCGGTACTTTTTTGAAAATTTAGACAGAATATCTTCAGAAGTAAGTACAATTATCGTATAATGTTTTTGTCTTATAATCATGTCATAATTTAAAGTTCTTTATCAAAGGACAGATGTCTTGCTAGGTAAAGAAAAGTTGGTGATACAGTTGTATTGTATTTATAGTGATCAAAGTTGATAACTTTCCCGCTAGATTAGGAATAATTGGTAATACAGTTTGGATGGTTGAAATTAAACACTTGTCCGAATCTAGGAAGAATACTTTGTTCTCCTGAAGAAGAATAGCCACCTAATCGAAAGTGCTCAAGTTTTGGGTCTTATTTTAAGTCTATTGGTGATAAACAAATATTTCTGGCCAGTCATTTCTTTAGCTGTTACAACAATAATCTCTCCCATCCGTAATGTTTCATCTGATATTTAGCTGAAAGGCCTAACTGATAAATTTACTGACATTAGTCATCAACAAACACAAAGAATGTTGCACACCTCTAGGCTCTACACTTCACTGATCAATAACAATAGTATCTTGTCTCCAGTTTATGAAATATTTCTGATGCTACTAGTTCACGACGTGTAGCAAGTGTTGAGTTCGAACATGTACAATTTATTCAGGAAGAATCAGTAATACAATTTTGATGGTCATAGTTGCACAACTGACCAGCTAAATAATGATGAATCAGTAATATAGTTGTGTTGTGATGGTTAAAGTTGGACAACTGACCAGCTAAATAATGATGAATCAGTAATATAGTTGTGTTGTGATGGTTAAAGTTGGACAACTGACCAGCTAAATAATGATGAATCAGTAATATAGTTGTGTTGTGATGGTTAAAGTTGGACAACTGACCATCATTATTTAGCTGAATCAGTAATATAGTTGTGTTGTGATGGTTAAAGTTAATAAGAGGTTTGTTTTAACATTAATCATTACAAAACAACCCATTACTAATTGTTTCTGATTTAACAAGAGGTTTGTTTTTAACATTAATCATTACAAAACAACCCATTACTAATTGTTTCTGATCTAGACAGACAGCTTTTTAACTGTATTATTCATCCATCCTTACTTAGCAGGTCAGTTGTCTAAATCAGAAACAATTAGTAATGGGTTGTTTTGTAATGATTAATGTTAAAAACAAACCTCTTGTTAAATCAGAAACAATTAGTAATGGGTTGTTTTGTAATGATTAATGTTAAAACAAACCTCTTGTTAAATCAGAAACAATTAGTAATGGGTTGTTTTGTTATGATTAATGTTAAAAACAAACCTCTTGTTAAATCAGAAACAATTAGTAATGGGTTGTTTTGTAATGATTAATGTTAAAAACAAACCTCTTGTTAAATCAGAAACAATTAGTAATGGGTTGTTTTGTAATGATTAATGTTAAAAACAAACCTCTTGTTAAATCAGAAACAATTAGTAATGTATTTCCATTGCAATGATTAAACAGTTATTCTGGTAACTTAGATGAACTCCTAAGCAGCTCATACAATATATCCATAACAAGATAAATTAAAGAGTCCTGGGTTCTAGTTCTAATATAGGAGTCACTTTTCATCAGAGGACAGTTAAGATGAACAGTGACTTATCCTAGGCTTCTTCTTCTGTAGGATATTTTGTAGAGTGATAACTATTTGATGAGCTATTTAACTTTTTCTTTGCATTGTGTCACAGTCTACAGCATGATATCTACTTATATTTCGTGTTGTGCCGTGGAATCTATGGCATTTATTAATCTTTGACTATATATGCATGTTGATGTGTTTGCCTTGCAGGGAAGTCCCTATGTTTTCTAGTGGTTGTATGGTGTGTAGATAAATTGACAGTCATTTGATTACTACATATCTTCAGCAGAATAACACGGTTTCATAGAAGTTTCATATTAATGTTAGAACTTTTCAGACATTCATTGCTTTGCTTCTGCAGCTGTATATCACTGTTTATTCATGATAAACTTGAAACAAATAGGATCAAATATGCTGGTTTGTTTTATCCAATGAGCAAAAGGCGCAGTTGCCCATGGCCCACCAGGCATTGCGACTATAATAATAGATAATAAAATATTAAGTGTATAATAAAATAATAATAAGAAACCAGTTTTTTAAAGAAATATATATTTTTCTTTTTTTATTGTTTATTAAATAAATTCCTTATTTTCTTAAGTTTATCAAATTGTATAATATTTTCTTAAAAGCAAGGGTAAGCAAGGAAAGGAGCCACTAGTTTATACTTTCCACAGGGCCCACCAGCGTAGCACTGCAAGTATGCTTTTACTTGTACAAAAGGCTTCCCCCCTCTCTTTAATCTAGAAAAATCAAAGCAGTGTCAGAGAGGTCAAAAGATTTATCACAAATAAGTTTTGAATACTGGACATCTGTAAGCTGCATGTAGAAAATTAAGTAACTGATAGTACATGGTGGTGGATGCTGCAACCAACATCCACTACCAACCTTTCTTGTTTGTGGTTGTTGAACTGTTGACTAGGAGGAAGGCAACTGGCTGCAGCATCCACCACCAACCTTTCTTGTTTGTGGTTGTTGTTGAACTGTTGACTAGAAGGAAGGCAACTGGTTGCAGCGTCCACTGCCAACCTTTCTTGTTTGTTTGTTGTTAAACTGTTGACAAGGAGGAAGGCAACTGGCTGCAGCATCCACTGCCAACCTTTCTTGTTTGTGGTTGTTGTTGAACTGTTGACAAGGAGGAAGGCAACTGGCTGCAGCATCCACTACCAACCTTTCTTGTTTGTGGTTGTTGAACTGTTGACTAGAAGGAAGGCAACTGGTTGCAGCATCCACTGCCAACCTTTCTTGTTTGTTTGTTGTTGAACTGTTGACTAGAAGGAAGGCAACTGGCAGCCAGTTGCCTTCCTTCTAGTCAACAGTTCAACAACCACAAACAAGAAAGGTTGGTAGTGGATGCTGCAGCCAGTTGCCTTCCTCCTTGTCAACAGTTTAACAACCACAAATAAGAAAGGTTGGTAGTGGATGTTGCAGCCAGTTGCCTTCCTTCCAGTCAACAGTTCAACAACAACCACAAACAAGAAAGGTTGGCAGTGGATGCTGCAACCAGTTGCCTTCCTTCTAGTCAACAGTTCAACAACCACAAACAAGAAAGGTTGGTAGTGGATGCTGCAGCCAGTTGCCTTCCTCCTAGTCAATATTTTAACAACCACAAACAAGAAAGGTTGGTAGTGGATGTTGCAGCCAGTTGCCTTCCTCCTAGTCAATATTTTAACAACCA